AACTGTGGGGGTGCAGCTGTACCCCAGGGCCCAGGGTCACACGGACACAGGTAGGGAACACCGGCACACCCCCCCACTGCGGTGGCCGAGAGGCACACACCCAGGGGGTAAATCAGAGATCTGGGATGGCACACAGGGGCGGAGCCTCAAGAACCCCAGCCCGCCGGAAGGCGCAGGGCAGGAGCGCACAGGACAGACAACATGCTGGAAGGCTGGGTCCCCGTGATGCTGCCCGTGGCCTGTTCAACCCAAGTACACCTGTGGTCAGCAACGTCCAACCCAGCCCCATCATGAGCAAGACGCGGCAGGGAGGAGGGGCCACTCACCGTGCACTTGTGGGGCTTCTCGCCCGTGTGCCGGCGCATGTGCACCACCAGCATGTACTGGGCCTTGAAGGGCTTCTGCTCCCTCGTGCAGGCCTGCCAGCGGCACACGAACTCCTTTTTCTCCCCATGGATGTGCTCGTTGTTGATGTGCTGCGGGAGCAAGCCCATTGGGAGGGGTGAGCCCAGCCACCCACCCCTGCGGACCCCACCTACAAGGCGCAGACGCCCCACCCAGCAAGACCACCCCCTAGGTGCCAGGCCACGCCTCCTCAGGAGTTCTCATTAGCTGCCATTAACCCAAGATCCACTGGGTGATCTCCTTGTCTCGCTGCATTTCCCAATTCTCTGTCCTCAAAGTGACCACCTATGACGGGCAAAGTCATCCCGCTCACCCCAGGCCGGGCTCTAGGCTCCGGTGGTTATGATGATGCTCCTGGGCTGCAAACAGTAGGCACTAAATAACTGTAGTGAGGCAGTCGTGCACTGTGGTTGGTGCACGAGATGCTTCTCCCAAGCTTGCTCCTGTTGTCCCAGGAATTTTTAAATACGCTTTTTTATTCCAATGGAAACATCAATGCATCCTCACCTCTGTCTTTGACAGTAACCTGTGAGATGATGGCTCTGCCCCTTTTGGCCAAGGCCCAGATGGTTCTGTGGCCTCTGCAGGGCCCAGGCAGCAAGGGTGGGTGGAGCTCGATGGGGACCCTGACGGTGGGCTCTGGGCACTGTGTGATGCTGCCCCTGGGACAAAATGCACGGACAGCACGACTGATCTGGAGGTATGGCAAGGGGGAGCCCTGCATCCCAGGGTAGGCGGAGCCAGCAAGCTGCCCTGAGTTGACCCTTTGGATTTTAGTGGTTTGCTTTGATTATTTAACTGAAGGCTGCAGGACTCACTGGAGCAGGGGTATTATTGCCTCTCGGCTTAGGATGTGTGGATATGTGTGGGGCCTCCAGACTTTTATGTCCTTAATCTTTGAGGTGGCTTATTTATCTTGGGGAGTGAAAAAAGGTGGTATAAGTCACTCACACAGTAGTCTGAAAAAGTGTACTGGACCTTGCGTGCTTCCTCTTGCTCTAGGGCTTTTCTCTAAAGGCCACTGGGGAGCCTCCTTGCACCCCCCCCCCCATCAAGGTCATGTCCTGTCTGTGTGCGGATAGGGCTGGGCTTGCTTCCCCCAAGGGGGACGGGGAGGGTGAGACACTCAGATCTCAGGGGCCTGTTCTCTCTAGCCCCAGTGCCTTTCCCCTCTCTTTTCTTGGCTCGTCTTCCAGCCGTCACTGCCTCCCACACACCACAACCTCCAATGCAGCAGCCATTAGCCACCTATGGCTCTTGAGCCCTTCAAATGTGGCTGGTTCCACCGGGGATGGGCTGTTTCAAAGATGGAGAATAAAAAAATAATAATAAGGATGTAAATAAAATATCCCACTAATTTTTGTTTATATTGATGACACATCAAAATGATAATCTTTCAGATATATTGGGTTAAGTAAAATATATTATTCAAATGAACTTCACCTGTTTCCTTCTACTCTTTTTAAACAGTGTGCTCCCAGGTTCACATAAAATTATGTGCGTGGTGGACATTTGTGGTTGGCAGCGTCTTTCTGCCGGACCGTGCTGCTGCAGGTCTTTGCAACCTCTGGGGCTGTCCGAGAACTGAGCATGCAGGCCCTGGCAGCACCTGACCCGGAGAAGACAGAAAAGCGCCGGGCCCACACGCCCCCGAGAAACAGGCCCGACCATCATGCATACAAATGCCCATGTTGGAACAAGTAAAATCTACAGCGCTTTGAACTTCCAGGGAAATCTTATCATATTAGCCTCACTTTCCATTTTTAAAGCCTCTCAAATGATAAAAATGCTTCCTGACAATGCCTTTCATTTTTTTCTTATTGGTTTACTTAGCAACAAATTGTTAATAATCGACTGGGGGCTCCAGCTCGCCCGTGTGCCTGCCACCATCCATCTTCCCAGGGAGCGGAGAGAGAGTCACAGCCGGCAGAGGGCCTGGCTCTCTTTTCATAGGGGGCTTCTCTTTCCAGGGCCAGGCGGAGGTGATCACCTCTGCCCACAGGGACAGTCCTGGGCACAGGCAGAAGGCTGCAGCTGAAGCCCTGCTTCCCCCGACTGCCTGTATCTGAGGAACTCCCTTTCTGCTCTTGGGGGCTGGCTTGCTCACCACTGTGCACACCTCTTATGTCTGCATCTCTGTTCCCCCTCTGCCCACCCCCACCGCCGCCCCACCCGGCCCCTCGTGGTCCCACATGCAGTCCTCTCTCTCTTTCATCTAATCTCTGTCCTACAACTCACAGCCCCAGTGGCCCCTTCTCCATCTTGGAATGGTTTACCCAAAGACGTGGAACAGGTTGAAAAATTATGTTCGAGTTCCAGAAGGGCTTAGGGCAGCCCCATTTCACAGGTGCTATGTCAGCTGCGACAGGTTTGCTGGGAAATTCTGATCTCCTGTGTCCTCACACTTTGGGGGGGGGGGAGGGCACCCCAAAGAAAAGAAACCCTGGGTATTTGAAAGCAACTGGCATGACAGGAGGAAGCAGAGGGAGAGGGCAGTGTCCTAAATGTGGAGCCCACAGAGCTGCGGAGAAGCAAACCCCTTTGGGATGGCTTCAGGATGTCAGCAGTGTGAATCGACCCCATCCAGCAATCTGACCGGCAGGCTGCTGTGGGGCTCATCAGTACAGACTCTCATTCGCCAAGGAGTGTGTGGGTCCGCGGGGGAGCAGTGTTGGGAGGGTGATTCTTGAAATTAAGCTCTCTTCTGGATGGAGAGGACAGACACCCGCTCAGGGCTGCTGTGGGGAATAGGGAGGAGGGGGCGGGAGGCTAGCTACCATGCATGAAATGCCATCTGCTAAGTGCTTATGTGGGTATCACACTTAACCTTCACAACTTTGTTGGGTGGGCTTCACCCCCATTACGGGAGGAAAAAAACTGGGGCTCATGGAGGTTAAGTCACTTGTTTGGAACCACTCGGCGAGGTGTGGTGCAGCCAGCCTCTGCTCTCCAAACCGCACAGGTTACCTTTTGACTGCCATCATATGGATGCTGCTGTAGAACAGTTTAGAGTGGGGACCAAGGGACATGACATGAGGGGGCACCCAGGTCCCATGGCCTCTCTGGTGTCCTGAGCAGACAGTACCAGGTATTTCTAAGCAGCCCCCTCTTGATAATGGTATTAACACCCCATCTGTTCTTGTGTACATTGGGTCTCTGTGAATGGTCTCCAAGAGGAAATTACTAATTCCTTCCTCCATGGGAGGACCTTCTTTCAGGTTTCAGGGTCTGTGTTTATAGATGCTCGCTGGTTTAACTAATCTTATTTCCTTCTTTGCACTGGCTGCTAGGAAGCTCAGGGAAAAAAAAAAGATATTTATGCGAATTATAGCTCAGAGCACATAGCTTTTTTTTTTTTTTAATCCATTCCACACCTGGCTTCATTTATTGTTCCTTTCTCTTTAATTTTCTCATTTACTTACTTTTGTTTTAATCTCTTATACTATGTATGTGTTTGTAGGCCCCCTTTTAGAAGCAGGCACGGCCCAGATAAATAATTAGGTCTCCCACTTGCAGAGGACGTGGCCCCAGCATCTCCTAGAGCCACCTCCCCCAGCCCCTTCTCCCCCGCAGAGGGCCTGAAGTTCTGTCCGCTGGGCGGGCTGCTGGGGCTTAGAGGCTCACGTGCACCAGCTGCTCCTGGGTGTCGTACTCCTTGGTGCAGTCTTCCCAGTGGCAGTTGGTCTCATAGATGATCACTTCGGCCTCCTGCTTACAGTCGTCCCTGTCCAGGTCTTCCTTGAGGTCAGCCAGCTGCTCCTGGGGGAGGAGCAGAGCAACCCACGTGAGCCACGTTCAGCCACCGGGCCCTAACGGAAGGTCACTACTGGCCCCGGGTGGTCTATGCCAAGGACCCTGAGCTGGTATGGGTGTGGAGACGCACGCATGCACATGCACGCACACGTGAGCACACATGCATGCACTTGTACACACACACGCGTGCACACGTACATGTATGTGCTCAGCCACTTTCTCAGCCACTTTCCTCAGCTAGCTCCCACCCATCCTTCTCCTGTTGCACAGCTGTCCTGGGGCCCCTCCTTCCTCTCCAATGCTGGCTTGTCATCACCAAAGTGTCCCATCACATCCTGGGTCAACCGACTTGGCGAGGAGAACAGGAGAAAGGAGGGCAGTGACTTTCGCTTATGTGGTTTGGTTTCCTCCGGGAGAGCCAGGGTGGACCCCCATGCGATCGCGGTGGGGGTGTTTTCGTTTATAGTCTGCACGGGGTCGGCTCCCGCCTGGAGGCAAGAGAACAGCCAACAGGCATCTGGCCTGGCCCTTCAGACGACTCACTCTCACACTGTCCCCTCCCTCCAGGACACAGAGCCCACCCCGATTCGTGCCCAGGGTTACTGGCATGGTCTCCCAGTGCCCATCCTGTCCTCCCCGCCACAGTCCTAAGACGTGGGCATCTGTGTTCTTGCATCACCACCAGGAAAATGGGTTCAGGGAGAGGCCACCTTGCTCTCTGCAGGGCACTCAGTGAGTGACAGCCCCCATCTGCACTGGCGTCTCCTCATCAGGACAGGGCCCACGTGTGCCCTGTTCAAGGTGGCAGAAGAAAAGCAGGGGACACAGGGGCAAAGGAAAGGCTGGGAGTGGGAGCGAAGGGGGAGGCACAGACGTGCCAGGCTGGGACAAAAGCCACAGGATGTCAAGGATTCCCCGATACTGCACTGGCTGGCTGGGGCAGGCTCAGAGCAAAGCCAGGCAAAGCGGCAGATGTTAGAACGATGGAATGCTTTCCATTTCACACTATCTACAAAACAGCAGGACTATTCTGTTTTTCCCAAGAGCCTCCGGGGGAAACATTTATAGCCCAGATTAAGGGGGCTGACCTCCCCCACAGTCAGAAGCCCCAACCCCTATGGGCTCTAGAGACCACGAAGCGGAGGCTGTAGCTCGCCCGTGAGCCTCATTACTGATGCTGAGTCCATTTCCGTCAGTGGGGAAATCTGCCTCGTGGCTCCCCGGGCTGGCGGCAGACTCACGCCCCTGACCGACTTTCCACTGGAGCTGCAAAGCTTCTGGTTGCTTCTCAGAGTACTTTCCAGTGAACGCACTTGCCCTGAAAAGGCAAACGATGATGTGCAGTATCCTAAGCTCACGGGCAGCGCTGGGTCCACATTAAAAGGAAGTGCAGGTGCGCCCCTGCCCTGAACCTTTAGCAATGGGGGAGGTCGGTGGGGCTGTGGCCCCCTACCCCTGCTCTGCACTGTCAGAAAAACTGCAAACAGGCTTATTATTTCTGTACGTCCCGCTTATTTGAAAGAAGACTTGAAGGAGCTGCCAGGTGGACATGTGAGCGGAAGACGGCGCGGGGGCAGGGGGTGCGCTCGGGGCCTCCAGATGGGGCTGGGCATCATCCTAGCCCACGGTTTTGAGGGCTTAAACAGAGCAGGGATTCATTATGCCGCATGCCTGCCAAGGGAAAGCACGCCCATCCACCCTGCAAATGAGACAGGTCACTGAATCAGGACCCTGAGTGACATAGTGACAACCTCTTGTGATAAACAGCTTTCCTTCCACGGACACATTGGAGGAGCCAGGCCAGGTGGGAAGGAGGGTCCTGTGCTGCCTTTCTGGGTTGGAGGGGCGGGGCAGGGGCTCCCCGGGGCTCCGCGTCTGTCCTCACAGTTCCAGCATGTTTATCTCCCCTGGATATGTGCCGTCCTCATCAATTTCAACGGCCCCCGATGATGGCCGACCTCGTGGAAACCATGCATCATGCGGAGATGCTTTGGCGTCAGCGAGGGGAGAAGAATTTGTCACCAACTCCTCTGTTTGCCTGACAATAACAGGACCCAATATTTCATAAAAATTAAGTGCCCAGAGCATGCCCGATGGTTTACAGGTTTGATAAAGGATGGTCTGACAGATGTAGGGAAGACGGGGGACAGGAGGTCCCCTGCATCCTTGGTGTCAAAGCTGGTGATGCTGTAGTAACAGATGGAGACCATGCCACTCTCAGAGGCCTGGGGGGGGGGGCGG